AAAAAGCGTGACGTATCGTATCACCTTAAATAAAGGAAAAGAAGATATTGTAATCAAGTTCCAGATTTATCAAGTTTAGCTTGAATAAGACCCTATTTTCTCGAGGATCTAGAAAAAAAATCTAAACATTGTTCCACGGCAAGGTTTGAGTAGTAGAAAACGTCATTTTGAACTGGTCGAATGATGCGATCTAAAGGGTGTACCGTTTAAAATACGCACACACTCTAATTGCTCTAACTTTTGATCCGTTGGGTAAAATTAATTGAAATTTTGCGTAGACATAGTTTAATGTATACCGTATGCGTGATAATGTTTACACCATTGAGCAATGTCAAAATTAAAAAAAAAAATGCTCAAAAATTTTGTTCTCGAGTTTTTTTTATTTATTCAAAGGGAGGATGTTTCTCCGAGTCTTAAACTATGTTAATCATCGATCGAGTTTCCACTTGCTGCAATTACGGCCTCCACACGCGCCAGAATGCATGGCAGGTTCTAATGATGTAGTCTGGATCCATTTCTCTCCAGGTACGGGTCAATGTTTGTCTGAGGCTTGCTGTACTCGGGTGGGGTTTAGAACAGGCCTTGGCCTTCATGACGCGCCATATTGAGTAATCCAGCGGATTAAGATCGGGGCTGGATGGCGGCCACATATCCTTCGCCCAGAACGGAAGATGTTCCTGCAACCACTTCTGAGTGCGGTTCGAGGTGTGGCACGGAGCCCCATCTTGTTTGGCATTTGGCTTCGAACCGTACTGTTCTTTGATCCACGGAAGAACATACTTACTTAAAATCCAGATTTAGACCTCCGTGTTGAGCTTGTCGCCTTCTGGAATGAACACCGGGTCAATTTTTTTTTGCCATCGGAAGTCACCAATCCAAACACCATAACGCTAGCAGGATGCTTGGTCATATACACGTTCTTGTGCTCGTCGGCCACGTCTTTTACCGGAAGAGAACTAATATACCGGTCGGTTCTGGAATTTGATGCGGGATCGACGGTAAACATGCTCTCGTCGGTGAAAAGGATTACCGGCTTTTTTCGCTTAAGGAAGTTCAAGATTTTCTTGCATCGTTCGACTTGTAGCTCCCGGATGCGGTTGGTAATCATGTGAGTTTTTTTTTCCGTGCCCTCGACTTCGCCCCGCAATCTTCCTTTACGATCTTCCGCGCCGTAATGTCACTGATCCCGTGTTCCTTTGCCATTTTCCGTATTGAACGCACTGGATTCACCCGAATCTTCCTTTTGATAGCAGCGATAACCCTCGGAACCCGAGCTGACCTCGGACGACCTGTGGCCACCTTCGCGGATAGTTGTCTTTTCTTTTCTCGGTCTAAAACCCTTTTAACGGTCCATCGGGACACTCCCACGGCGATTGAAATGTTTTTTTTTGCAATATTTGCGCGTGGAAAAAATTACGAATACGCTGCCATTTCGTCATGGTGCAACTGTCAAACTAAGTAAATCATTTTCTTTTATACACAGCCTACTACGGTATGAGCTATAGGTTACGTGCATGCAAAGAAAACCAAGGCATTGTATGCACAGGTGAAACGGGAACCTTATTTTTACGATGGTGCAAACATTATCACGCATACGGTATTGTTTACACTCTGTGAGTTGGTGGTGCGCAAAAGTTTTCAAAATTGCGACGTAAGAACAGTGCGTGCGCGGAAAAGTTTTGCACGAGTGCTTTGAGAGTAAGGATCTGTCGCATCGTGAAAAAAGTTGAGAATCGCGACTTCTGAAGGTTCGAAGAACGTCTGACTGTTGATCGGAAGCGAAGATCCGGAAAAACAGAAGAGTCTGTGCCTTGGGGCATGAACGGAAGCTTGACGTAGGACCGCTAGTGGACGGTACAAATATGTTGATCATTTACTTCTTAACTCTTTCCGTTTATGAATTGGTGGCCTTGAAAAGCACCGGTTGTTTTTCAAATGGTGTCCATTCCGATCGATGTGGGTGCTTTCGTCGTCGTGTCTTCGTATTGGTGCGATGCGTGCAGTTCCGCTCATACGTTGTGTCCAAAGCTTATCCGTCCGTTGCTCGAAAGCAAATGACGAAGAAAACGATTTGGCAAGCATTGGCAAGATTGGTGAAATGGTGAGCGATCAACCGAGCATTGAGCTCGCTCATATGAGCATGCGCAATGTGTCGTTTGTTCGGTTTGCGCTCCATGTTTGGGATTTTTCGTTACATGTTTGTATTTTGATTTTTTTTAATGTGACCCCCAGTATAAAAATTAAATACGTAGTCCTACGTAAAAAAAAAGCCGTAAAGGTCAACGAGAACCACCACAAACGCGTGGTTGGGGCCTTTAAACGGGAACCGAACGCCTCAGTTTGAGATGTGGCTAAAAAGTTGCATGTGAGCAAAACTTTCGTGCAGAATTCCAAAATTCGAGCTGGACCACGTACGATTCAGAAGTCCCCAAACCGTGACGAGAAACAAAATACGGTTGCAAAAAGCCGTGCCCGGAAGTTGTACGGCCAGAAGTTAACGAAACCACACTGCTGCGTAATGGATGACGAGATATATGTGAAGGCGGACTTCAACCAGATTCCAGGAAACCTGTACCTGTAAATTTTGGTTTTCCCATAGTAATTTCTATATTAACTTCAAATGGTTTGTGCCAAGTCAGTTTCTTACTAAATAAGTTCAAATTTTGGGAGGCTAATCAGGATCCAATTTGGAACCGTTTGAGCACTGTGGAGCGAACATTTCAAATTTTGCATCAGTCTAATGGACAGGTGTAGTTGGAAGAGTGTCTCCAAAAGCAGCTCCTGAATCTCTCCTGAATGCTCACGACGGTCCGACGATTTTCTGGCCGGATTTGGCATCATGCCACTACACGAAGGACGTGTTATAGTGGTATAAGGCGAATGATGTCGATTGCGTGCCGAAAGAACTCCCCAATCACTTCGGAGCTGCGCCCAATAGAAAAATACTGGGCCATTCTGAAGGAGCACCTTCTAAAACGACCTAAAGTGGTGAATAATGTAGAAGAAATGAAGAAAGCATGGGTTAATATGCAAAAAACTGTCGATTCTGAGGTCGTGCAGAATCTTATGGCTGGGGTTAAGGCCAAGGTTAGTGCATTCGGATATAAAGGCGAAATAAATTAAATGAATGATGTCAAAACTAACTTTAATTTTTCTATTTACTCCCTGAAAATTTGGTGATAATTGGATAAAAACTCGAATTTTGAGAATGAATTTTGGGTGTGCAGATTTTGAGCGGTACGCCCTTTATTTCGAAAAGTGTTCTAAGGAATTGAACTCTGCGTAAAATTCTAAAGGAATTCTCTGGACAATTGCATGGGAATCATAAGAAGAATTCTAAGGGAATCTTTAGAATATATCTAAGATTATGCTGAACCGCATTCCAATGCAGTTCTCAAGACAACTATAGGATTATTTATAAGGGTATATCGTGAATATTCTGAGAAATATTTTAAAGAAATGCAACAGAAACAGAGCTGGTAAATATCACGATTGTCATGTGACAGTGAGAAAACAGGTCCTCTCACTATCACGAGACAAATCTACCTTCCAAATCTAGCTTTCTTGTCATTTTCCAACGACCAAGCACTCATGAGAATAATTCTCGTGCGGTTTTGACATCAACATTTCTAACTGATTTAGATGAATTTAGGAAAGCATGTAATCGGTAAAGAGAATATATTTTTAAGATTTTCGTGGTACAAGTAACAATAATATAAATGAATGAGCTAGTAATTGCGATGATCACAACACTCTCACGTTCTGTCATTCGATGAGATTTTGAAGAAAATCTCTCTCATCGTTTTCTCATCCGATGATAGTGACAGAACTATCTCTGTAAATATCGCGTGAAATCTTTCATTGATAATGAGTTTTGTCTGCCCTGAACAGAAATTTAACAGAAATTTACTTAAGCAAATTCTTGGGAGAACTATTAAGGATAAGATGTGAGTGGTGAAGAAACCCAAGAGTGTTATAGACAAATTATGAAACGAGCTCTGAGTAAATTTTCGAATGATTTAATGGAAATTTACGTGCTGAGCATAGTAGGCAGCCATAATCATGTTTAAAAAGTTTCTGGATTGCGAGCCTTTACGAGAGGATGTTTGCTGTGAGAGGTGCTTATCGGGAGGCATTATATGATTATGATTCTCGGTAAAAGAATTTCCCATCTCAAATTATATATCTGAATAGTTTCAGATTGCCGAGAAGTTCAAGCTGAACATTGCATTAGGTCCTAAGTAACATTGATCGATTCTCTTCGTCGACTTTCTCTTTCGGTAATAACATGAGCACATAACCGTTTCTTGTTGTTTTTGCCGTATTATATGCTAGATTAAAGCTTCTTTTATCGATACGTGTGCTGAAAATACCTGAGAATGTCTTAAGATGGCCGTGGGGATATAAAGAGAAAGTCGACGTAGGGAATCTGTCAATGTTACTTAGGACCTACTGCAATGTTCAGCTTGAGTTGTTAACATCAGGGTTACTTCCACTCACTTGCTATAAAAAGATGTTTTTCGGTTACAAGAAGAGGTCATGAAGTATATGTTTGACACAAAAAATCTGTCAATATTGCTTTCAGTGCGTCACAATCAGCGATTTTACGACTCGTGAGCGCTCACTCAGAGTGAACGCTCACGAATCATAAGATCGCTGATTGTGAGGATCTGAAAGCGAAATTGACAGGTTTTATGAGTCAAACACATACTTTACACCCTCTTCCTGTTACTTAAAAGTAGAACATACCATTATAACATCTAATGATTGCATAATCCCGAAAAATATTTTTTTATAGCAAGTGAGTGGAAGCAACCCTGGCTAACATGTCTAATAATGTTTCGAAACAGTTTCGTGAACATTTATTGATATCTGAGTTTGTGAATACATTTAACAATAAACGTGACTTTCTACCTAGACCAGGACCAGTACATTTGGCAAATTACCCCTATAGAAACATATTTTTAATTAATTACAACATAAGTCGGTCAACTACTTACACATGTCCCAGTTCGTGTGCGATCGTAAACGCCGCCGACAGTCCGTTATCCTGAACGATCGCACACGAGGACCGCTTGCACATGGTTCCCAGTTCGGCCAGTCCCAGCGTGTCGCACTTCATCTGATGCCGGCAGATTTGCTCCCGCGTCAGTAGAAATGCTGTGTCGTGGTGGAAGTTGGAAGCCTGCTTGATACGGCAGAACGCCTGCAACATTTCGGATGCCGATACGCCTGAAAGCAAACGAAAAAATAAAACCAAAATATGTCAAACAATGACTCAGCTGTGGACTTTATGTTTCAAACAAGCTACCATTATCAAACGAATTCCCGAACCGAATCACAATCAGTTTGCTGTACGCATATTTTATGATTTATAAACGTCCCCGTTGACGTCGTTGTTCGGACTCGGCTGCGCACCGAGTTCTTCTAATACTATTAATCCACGCTTGTCGCGACCATTTCCACAAGGCAATAAATTTAGGCAGCAGCCGGTCGCACAGGCATTCACGACGTGGTCATTGTTTTTCTTCGAGGACCGTCCAACGACGACGACGACGAAGGCGACGGTTGTTGGAAGCATTATTAAATTTCCCTCGTCGTCGGTGAAGTATTCATGACAACTAGTTCTCTTTCTTTGAGAAACAAGCGCCGGTCAGCCGGTGTCAACAGATTTGAAATATAGAAACAAGTCGCCCAGCTGCGTGAACATTCCTACAGTCTCTGACTGACGTTTAGCGAAAATGCATTTTCTGAGGCTGCCAAGATCAAAGCCGCGTCTGGTCACAACTCAACGAACGGACCAGGACTGCGCTGACTGGTGCAACTAGGTATTAGCTATTTCCGAGCGTCTAGACGCAGTCACCACTAGTGCGAGGCAATTAGTCAATTAATTTTACATAGTGTTTCACTCTCGCAGACAAATTGCTGCCAAATAGAAGGCGGTTCTCGATCTGCTCATAGGACGCGATTATGATTCAACGGAAAATACAGTAGGGCTGAATCAACTGATACTTAGATTTCCTCTAAAGTTAAGTTAAACAAAAATCTAACTGCACTGAATTAATTCTGCGTTGTATTACCATTAAGTAGCAATTACTCTCAATCAGGGGAAAATGAAAACAAATCAATATCTATCTGACAAAATATGCACCAGCCTCCGGCAATCTCGAGAAGCAATTTAGATAAATCAGCTACGCAAATCATGCACGGCTGGCTGGTGGTGGTTGTTATTGCAATACCTAGCTGCATTTGGCATTGTGGTAGGTAGCCGGGGCAGTAAGTAGAAGTAGCAATAGCAGATAGAGCTAGTTGTATACTAGCTGGTTGTAGATAATATTTTGTTTTCAACCTTTGTCCGAAGACGCGAGTGCCAGGCTGCCTATATGTAGTATGAGAGAGTGGGACTTGATGCTAGTTAAGATAGCGATCATTTTTACGGTAGTAAGGGAGCAATAAAAAATCAATTATCCCTGAGCAGCGGCTGATTGAGCGGTAACCACACCGAGGAGGTTCAAGTGTTATGATTGGCGTCAATTTGGTTATTATTGGAATTGAACCGAATAGAATTTTTCCAAGGGAATCCTGGCGTGCAAATTATGGCTGATGATTGGGTTCAGCCATGATATGAGTTAAATAAGTGATTTCATTCGAATAATAGGGCAGGTAAGATAGCATTTCGTGGAAAGCATTTTTAAGACTAGATAGATGGTAACCAAGACAGTGTCTAAAAATTGACCTGGGTTTTCAAACATTTCTTTAGCATTTGTCATGTCCAGAAAGTTTTTTTTTTTTCCTTTGGTTTGTTTTTTCCGTCGATCTTGTTTTCCGTGCTGAGCACCAATGCTACCGACGTGCCAGGAAGGCAGCTCCCACACCTGGACCCTACCTATCGACCCATCAACTCATGAACCGGGGACCAACGGCTTTACTTCCCATCCGAAGGAAGGCGTGATCAGAGATGTTATGCCTCAGAACATCCCGGCGGCGCCGACTGGGATTGAACCCAGGCCTGCTGGGGTGAGAGGTAATCACGCTTACCACTACACCACCGGCGCCGTTATGTCCAGAAAGTGTCATAATGGAAATTCCTCTAGGAATTCTGAGCGTAATCTGTGAAGTTTCGTTAGAATTTTGAGGTAGACAAATAGCACAGCTGGTAGCGAGTATCTTTGTAGTGACTTGGTCACTTTTTTCAAGCCAGTCACTAAAAAGTCTCATTTTCAAGGCCAAGCCACTATAGTCACTTTTTATTTTAATCAGTCACTATTTTAAACCTTTTTAGCTTGAATTATATCATCACATCATTCTTCCTACATTTAGATATCTTTTGGAAATTGTAGAGATCGCAGCTTTAGTCTAGACTTTTGGAGCAGTTAAAAGAAATATGTAAGCTTGAGTTTAGAAAAATTCAGGATAGTTCCATGATGTTCCAAACAATAATCAAGAATCTTTAAAATGATCCGAGAATTTCAGGGAAGTATAGATACCTTCAGAGAATTAATAAAATCTTAAAAAATGTTTCAGGTTCTTCAGAGAAGTCCAGAGAACTTCAAGGAAGTTAAAAGGAACCGAGACCTTCGATAGAATTGAGAGCTACAGTGTACCTTCGAGAACACCAAGTCATATAAGAGAATCAAAGAGCAGTTCAAATCGACAGTGAGCATGCATAAGGGCGTTTACGCGATGATCGATTCTCTTTATCGATTTTCTCATTGCAGCTAAGCGAAACAATTTTCTAAAATTTGTTCAATGCAGAGTTGTAACAGGTTGTATTGGCTATCAAAAGCAACAGCAAACGCACCGAGAAACGTTAATTCTAGCGAGTTCTTAACAAAAGAGAAAATCGACGAAGAGAATCGATCATCGCGCTTACGCCCTTATGCATGCTCACCGTCGAAATCATTTTAAGGAAATTGTAGAAAGCTTTAAGAAGTTTCAGGAAACTCAGGGACTTTCCGGAAACTTCAGCAAAGCTCCGAGATAATTTCTGGAACACTATAAAAATTATATGATCATCTGTAAAATGTGAGAGTATAAAGGGTGTCCACGATGAAATTGCCACACACAAAATTGATTCACAAAATTCGAGTTTTCATCCGATTGCCATCAAATTTTCAGGGATTGAGAAATAACTATTAAACTTCATTTTACCATTTTACTCGTATTTTATTAACAGTCCATACGCAAATGCCCGCACCTTGGCCTTAACCCCGGCCATAAGATTCTGCACAACCTGTGAATCAACCGTTTTTTGCATGTAAACCCATACTTTCTTCAGTTCCTCGACTGTCTTCACTACCTTAGGTCGTTTAAGAAGGTGCTGCTTCATAATCGCCCAGTACTTCTCGATGGGGCGGAGCTCCGGAGTGTTGGGAGAGTTGAACATTTTCGGCACGAAATTGACCTTATTGTCCGCATACCACTTCAGCACGTCCTTGGAGTAGTGGCATGAGGCCAAATCCGGCCAGAAGATTGTTGGGACGTTGTGGGCCTTCAGGAGAGGAAGCAGCCGCTTCTGGAGGCACTCTTTTGTACACCTGTCCGTTCATCGTGTCCTGGGTCACGAAAGGTGCACTCCGCTTCCCGCACGTGCAGATGGCTTGCCAAACCAGGAATTTCTTCGCAAATTTGGACATCTTCTGAGTGCAGACATGCTCCGGAACGCTGAACTTATCCTTGGCCGTGAAAAACAGGTTGCCGGGGATCTGTTTGAAGTCGGCCTTCACATATGTTTCGTCGTCCATGATGCAGCATTCAACTTTCGTCAGCATGTTGAGGTACAACTTCCTGGCACGGGTTTTGGCGGACTTGTTCTGCTTCTCGTCGCGATTAGGGGCCTTTTGTACCTTGAACGTTCGAAGTCCAGCCTTAGTTTTGGCCTTCTGGACAAAACTTCGGCTTAGGTGCAGCTTCTTAGCCACATCCCTAACGGAGGCGTTCGGATTTCGGTTGAAGGCCCCAACTACGCGGTTGTGATTTTTGGTGTTGTACGGAATACTTTTTCCTTCACTTCTGGGCTTCCGATCGGTGGTCAACCGTTCCTCGAACCGCTTAATCACTCGCGACACCGTGGAATTCGCGATTCCCAAAGTTTTAGCGATGGAACGATGCGAGAGATCCTTGTTCTCGTGATGAATGCGCAAGATTTTATCACGCACGAGCTGTTCTTTCGACTCCATTTCCGCGAGTTTTGATCACAGGACTTTAAAACTTGCAGGATGTAAATAATGCACTATGAACTAAATCCACCCAAATTTTAATTAAATTCTACCCAACGGTTAAAAAGTTAGAGCAATTTCATAGTGTGGCAATTTCATCGTGGACACCCTTTAGGGTGTTATATCATACAAATGTCAAGAACTTAAAAAATGCGAAAATTTAGCTGAAATGATTTGACAACATCAATAAAGATCCATTAATTAAAAAAAAAACGAAAACTTTTAGCAAGCACCGATATTTTCAAGAAATTTCATTGGACTTCTAAGAAATTTAGATATTTTAAGATGGTTTCAACGAAGTTTCGAGTACTTCGAGGAGGATCAGATAACTTCAGAACAATCACATTAACTTAAGGAAATTTGCAGCGACTTTCAAGGAGCTCCGTGGAATAATTTCAGAAGCGTCAGGGAATTATGAATATATCTAGATAGAGTTGGAATAAGAGTGTAACAACTTTTGTAAACAATGACTTCTCTCGATGATTTCTAGGATCTCAAGGCATGCCCACATGAAGTCTTACCCTACCTGATGGTGATGTTGATTTGCGTGGGCGAGCCTTGACTTTTAAGACGTCGTCGAAAGAAGTCATTGTTTACAAAAGCTGTTACGCCATAATTCCAGCTCTATCTTGATCTTGATCTCATATGCCGGAGCATTAATCATTTTTACAGAACTTCAGTTAAGCATAGGAAACTTCAGGGATGTCTAGATTGTTTCAGGAATAAATAGTGATTTAAGACAAAGTTCCGTGAGCGTTTATGAATTTTATAATCATTAAGGAAAATATGGAAAAATTCAAGGCAATTCAATTAATTTCAGTAAAATTGCTAGTTCATATTCGTCTACAGCAGCTCAATTTCAGTAAAGATGCTATCCTCAAAGCCCTCCGTTCTGTTGACGCTTCGAAAGGGTAAGATCCGGATCGTATTCCACCTTCATTCATCAATAATTGGGCAGCATCGTTGGTCACTTTCGGAGTTGCTATCTTCAAGCGATCACTTCTGGATGGCGTTTTTCCTGGCACCTGGAAGCTTGAGTGTAAAACTATTGTCCAATCTCAATTCTGGATTGTTTGGTGAAAGTTCTGGAAAGTCTTCTGCATGACCAGTTCTACTTGGCTGTCCACTCCATAATCTCCGAGTACCAACATGGATTTATGAAGAAACCTACAATTACCAATTTGATGACCTTCACTAACACTCTGATTGGCAGCATCGAGAAGCGTCAGCAAGTTGATGCAGTGTATATTGACTTCTCTAAGGCTTTTGATAAAGTTCCCCACAATCTTGCTGTCACGAAGTTGAGCCGCCTTGTTCTTGGGAAACTGGGACTACCGATTAAATCAGTAAAAAAAAAGAATGGCAATTGTAATTGTTACTCACAAATGAATACTTACCACTTATTTTTGTAGTATTACTCATAAATGGGTAAAATTTAACTCATTTAATGGGTAGTCCCAGTTTCCCTCAAAAATGCTTACTTTGTAGTCATTATTTTGTTTTTTGCGTGTACACTAGAGGTGGGCACATCAGCTCATCTGGGTGAGCGGATCAGACCCGTCCAGCTCACTAAGGAGAGCCAATTCTTTGTAACAGCTCTTCAGCTCACATTGAAATTATTGAAATATATACACAAATTCAAAGTCGGAAAAGAAATAAGTTATTTTGGTGACCCTAAACCAATAGAGCTATAGAAGCTTAAAACTACATAAAATCGTAAAAGTAGTCTAAACTAAAAAATCCGTATTTTAAAACAGGCTTTACTTTTCAATTGATTACCCAAAACCTGAACAACCAAACTGCGCGCAAATGGAGCCAACAACATATCAGTAAAAGCAAAAAGTGTATGCTATAGGGCTACATCTATAACACACGCGAGGATATAATTAACATCGTGTCACACGATGTTACGCTTTTTCTCATATGCTATGCAATCCAGCCTATATTGATGTTAATTCTCCAGCAGAAATGCCCTCAATATTCTCGACATCAGTTCCAGATCATCAGCATGATCCGGGGAGCTGAATCCGAAGAGCAGGACGGGTCCAAGGGCAGGACGGATCCAAAGAGCTCGACGGGTTCGAGAGCTGGTATCCTAAACAGCTCCCACTGAATCATTCGGGTCGAAGATTCAGATCCGGAACTGAGCTGTGAAGTGGAAAGCTGCATTTTGCTTTTCGGTTATTTGCTTTTGTGCGGATCTTCCGCTCTCCCAGAGAATGATGGGAGGAGTAAGTGATGTACATATGTCTCTCTCTTTCTCAATCATCCGCTTGGAAGTATCCTTTACCGTTTACCGATCCTATCAATTAGTAGGCACATGTTGTATTATGCGCGCATCGTGGTTTACGCGTGGTCAATGCGTAAGTCCTTTTTTTAAGTTTTGATGAGCTATGGTTCTTTAAAAATGAACCGCGGATAATCAGCTCACTTTAGTGAATCGGGTCTTTAGAACAGCTCAGGAGCGGATCGCCCATATCTAATCTAAACAATGAATATCGGCTCCACAAAGCTACGGAAAATGAGCATGGAAAAATAAACGCATTACATAAAAAACTCTAAGAGTTTTGGAAATTCCCATAGGGTATTGAGTTAAGGTGTGTTGAATTAAGATAAGATGAGGAGAAGGAGAAGTGAGGAGATGATGTAGGGTGGTCCTCATCAGTCCTTTTTTTTAAGTTTCGCTATAAGTGACGGATTGTATGGTTTAGACTTGTGATATCAGTGAGCTGATGAGCAGCGGTTCGTTAAAAATGAACCGCGGGTCATCAGCTCACATTAGTGAATCGGGTCTTTAGAACAGCTCAGGAGCGGAACGCCCATCTCTAGTGTACACATCTATTAGATGGCAAGGACTACGAGCGCGATATACAGATATCTATGTGGCAACAACGATATTTTTCATAGAAGATTTTTTCTTCCTGTATCAAGCGGCAAAGATAGCTCGGCAAAACAGATTCATCCTCACAACTGGCTCTCGGATGTTGACTTCCATCACCGCTCATTTCAAAGTGTTGGGTATCTTCTTTACTCGGGTTCAGCTTCAATTTGCAGCGCACGCTCCGACCTATCGGTACTCAATATCCCTCTCAAGTGCATCAATCTTACAATCCCCGTATTCCTCACCAGCGCAAACCCATTAGATACCCGACCCCATAGGTCCCGGTATGGGGCACACGCGCACGTGACAATCGCAACAAACATAAACATAACAAATTCGGTTCGAGATAACAATAAATATAAATTGAAAAATGGCATTAGTTACCTTTGGCCAACCGGGAACAGATCAAACACTTACCTTTGCTGCCGTTGAGATCCAGTGTGCTGTGCGCGGCCAGATCCTGGTGGAGGTACAAAATATGCACCACTGCTATCTTAATTGAATTTCCAATGCTGGCATCGGCGTAAATGCTGGAAACCTGTTGCCCAACGCGGGACCGGGTTGGAGAGAGAAAAATGAGAATTATTAGCTCACTTTGAGGTCGATAGGGAGAATATAATAAGTAGAGGAACAGGCCCTAATGTTGTCCTATGGGATCTAAAGTCTTGGGCCCATCGATAAAAATCTCCTGTTATTCAACTTTTCATGGAAGAATGCGTCATCTGGATAATAAAAGTGAATATATATTAGGTTGCTGCTGAAAATTGTCAAACACTGCTTTCCTTCGAAATGTATGTTCCGGGCCCAATATTAGGGACATTAACCCTAAATGGAAACTATTGGGAAAGCATGTGTAAAAGTGTGGCCCCGAAGGCCGGGGCCGGTCGAGATTTATGGTATCACCGATCGACAGATTCCGATACGGTCGGTAACGGTTACCGCCGCCATCTGGACGTGAGAGTATGGTTCGCGTTTTTCTCCGGGACCAAGCGAGGGAGATGAATTATGACGCGCTACCGCCTCCGTGTAAGGTACCTACCTACTCGAGAGTGGGACTGCAGCAAAAAAGCAGTGGCAGCAAAGTAGCGCTCCTTCAATTGGATCAAGATAATTTTTACACGCTGAAGTGAGCGATTAATCAGTGACGGAGATGGACCTTTGCAACAAGTGCTCCCGAAGAGGCCCAACAACCCAACGGAACAGCGAAACAACTGCCAGTCAAGTAGTGACCGAGAGGGTAATTGCGTGAATAATTGAATTTTCCAGTTTTGTTTCTGGCTGTAGGGCTGCCTGGCATAACCATTTGTAGTGCATCGATTTGTTTTTTTTTTGTGGCCGTAGGAGGATTGCAGCCCGGTAACGGTGCGGTAAGTAACGTGTTGCTAAACAAATCCATTTACATGAAAATTGATTGATTGTAATCGGATGCCGGGGGCTAGGAAGGAGTAGATCTAGCTGGGATATGGCGAGAGCGGCGAGTGAGACTCGTTTGAAAGATGCTGTTTTTGGACATGTGAAGGCGGTTGACGGATCAGCTGTTCTTTTTTTTTGTCGGTGTGAGTGTGCGCTAGAGATCGGTTGATTAATGGCTTAGGTCGGTATATTTATTAACTTGACACATATTCCACAGAGCAGCTAGTGAATGACTGACTGACTGACTGACTGTTATGTAACGGTTTGTAGCAGATTGGGACTGCATCTTTTGCTGTCACTTGGGTGTTTGACTCCCACCACTTGTCTTTGCAGTGATTGAATGGCGTTGAATGTGAGCTCTGTGGTGGGATTTTCCGTAGAAGAAATCGATTTTTTTTTGTATCTAGATGACCAACTTTACCGTTCTGTATATAATTAGACATACCAAGTGGAATCAAATTTTATTAAATCAATCCTGACACCCCTTATGACTCATACCTAGTTTTCACGTGACATCTACATCCGTAAATTCAGCAGCCCTTTGGGTTCCAACGACTGCTGAATTCGGCTCTTGGTATGTTGAATAAAATGTGGTCCAGTTAGAATCCGGAAGTAAGAGATCATCTCTATCTCGGGATGCTCGGGATTGGTTTGTTGTAAGAAAATGGACAAGTACTCAATTTGGAGTTTTTTTTTATTGCACTTGCATATACGAATATCTCAAATCTTATTCCGGTGGTTTTCTGATAAAATTGCGAACTTTCTTTGAAATTACCGCCATTATCTGTTGTACACGCTGGATATCAACCTAAGTGCTGTCACCTTGCCATTCTTCTTCAACTTCCGCACTTGATAACTGCGCAAAAAGGGCTGCATCCGAAAAAACGGAATACCTTTAAATTGTCACACCTTTTCAAAATTTGCATCTGGGCGTTATATATTTCATAGATAGTATAGAAGAATTTCTATTCCTCACAAATGTGTATTACAAGCTGACTTTTGGTGACTACTGGAATGACTAAAAAATAGGAAGGGCCGCTCAAAATGCCGCTCAAATTAAAGGATCTTGGCGTACTCTCGCGTGTTAGCTCACTTTTTAAAATTTGTTTGCCATAAAAGTCACGAATAACCTGAAAATTTTCAAGCGACTATAACAAAAAAATCATTCATCATTCCTAAATATTATATTAGGGGTAAGAGGGACATAGTGAGCAGGTGGGGCATAGTGAGCATCCCGTGCACCAGCTTAGACTTCCGGCCGTTTGGAACAAATTGGTTGGTGGTAGGATCAATATCATAATGATATTGAACCTACTACCAGTTGATTTGTTTCATGCAGCTAGTGATCCATGGCCAAACTGCGGGATGCTCACTATGCCCCACCTGTTCACTATGCCCTCCTCCCCTTATCCAGATTATTTAATTTCAAAACATGCGAAGCAAATTCAACGCATCGTATCTCTCATGGAGATGGCTTTCTGCTTAGAAACCCAAGCACAGGCTGCGCTCATCAAGCTATCAATGAGATGATAATCGTTGCCAGATTCAGAACACCACGGGACCAAAACCTTACTATAATCTAATGTTATGCGCAACCGATGCTGCCGAATTGCTGGACAAAGAGAACTTTTACAGTCAACTGAATGCTGTCGTGGATACGACTCCAAGAGGTGATATCAAGATCTACTCAGGCGACTTCAATGCGAAGATCGGCTCCGACAACTCGGACTATGAGCGCATTATGGGACGCCATGGTCTCGGAGATATGAGCGAGAACGGCAAGCTGCTTGCAGAGTTTTGTGGCAACAACGACATGGTGATCGGGGGCTCGGTCTTCCCCCATAGCCCAGTGCATAAAGTCACATGGATCTCCCGTGATGGATATACAGAGAACCAAATCGACCACATCTGCATTAGGGTGTTTCATTTTGAAAAAAGTGATGAATTTTTGATAGGCCACCCTCCAGTTCGATTCATAGCCCCAAAATATGAACCTGTGCAAAAAATGGTAAAGATTGATGAAGGTTTAGAGGTCGCGCCAATGATTTGGATTTTGTATGGAGATTTTGGTGAATTAGTATGGGAAATTATTGATTTTCGTTTACATTGCTCTAACTTTGGTTGTAGTTGTCCAAACGTTGAAAAAAAAAAATATGTGGTTGTCATGACAATGATCAACAAGCCTGTTGTTGTTGCGATGAAATTGGCGTTGTTGCCTTGTACATATTCATCTGTCAATTTACCCTATTTTGCCATTTTTTCACATTTTTATAATTCTTGATACGCTGCAAAACTGAGCGTAGCAACTGTAGGCTTTTTGTTTATTGCCATAGCAATAACATACTAAATTTTTTCGACATTTGGACAAGTAGAAGCAAAGTTATAGCGATATAAGCGATTTTTTAAATTCTTCCATAGTAATTCCCATACAAATTTCAAATCATTGGCGCGACCTCTAAACCTTCATCAATCTTTACCAATTTTTGCACAGGTTCATATTTTGGGGCTATGAATCGAACTGGAGGGTGGCCCATCAGAAATTCATCACTTTTTTCAGAATGAAGCACACTAATCTGCATCATCCGAAAATGGAGACGGAGCCTTCTTGATGTTCGGAATAAACGCAGCGCTGACATCGCGTCTGACCATCATCTCCTGGTCGGTGAGATCCACCTACGCATTGCGCGGGTTCACCGGCGGGAGGAGAGACTCGATCGGTGATTCAACACACGCCAACTGGAAGACCCAGCAGTGAAGAGATCGTTCGTCGAAGAACTCGAGGCTCACGCAGCTAATATTCCGGAAGGTGGCGGCGTAGAAGAACAGTGGACGAGCATCAAGAATGCCTTTATTGAAACAATCGAGAACAACCTGGGTGAGCTGCGCACTCAGAAGAAGGAGTGGATCACCGATGAAACCTGGAGGAAGATCGAGGAACGGAGAGAAGCTAAAGCCGCGATAGAGCGAGCAAGGACCTGAGGAGCCAAGAACGAGGCCCGTCAGCGGTATTCGGCTCTAGAGAAGGGAAGTTAAGCGCTCCTGTAAAGGGTGATACGGTCAAAATTTGGTCAAGGGAAAACGCGTGTAAATCGGTGAAATCGTTTATTTAAAAAATCAAATTAAATTTCTTTTTCAAGTTCAATTAGTATAAAATTCAGGAAAAATATTCAGTTCAGTTCCGCTTTTCCAAATCCGAATTGCCGGGCATTACGCTTGACCCCTGCCATCAGATTTTGTACAGCCACCTTGTCCACCTTCTTCGCCGCAGAAAGCCAGTTTGCCTTGAACTGCTGCTCGCCCTTAGCAGTTTTTTGGTCTTCTTTAGGTTCCGCTTGACAATAGCCCAGTATTTCTCAATTGGGCGGAGCTCTGGCGTGTTGGGAGGGTTCTTGTCCTTGGGAACCACCTGCACGTTGTTGGCGGCGTACCACTCCATGGCCTTTTTACCGTAATGGCAAGATGCCAAATCCGGCCAAAACAGTACGGAACAACCGTGTTTCTTTAGGAAAGGCATCAGACGTTTATTCAAACACTCTTTCACGTAAATTTCTTGGTTGACAGTCCCGGAAGCTATGAAAATGCTGCTTTTCAAGCCACAGGTACAGATGGCTTGCCAAACCAGATATTTCTTTGCGAACTTTGACAGTTTCATGTGCTTGAAAATATCTGCTACCTTTCCCCTTCCTTTTGCCGTATAAAACTCCTGTCCCGGAAGCTGCTTGTAGTCGGCTTTGACGTAGGTTTCGTCGTCCATTACCACGCAGTCAAACTTCGTCAGCATCGTCGTGTACAGCCTCCGGGATCGCGCTTTGGCCGTCGTATTTTGTTTATCATCGCGATTTGGAGTCACTACCTTCTTGTAAGTCGATAGTCCGGCTCGTTTTTTGGCTCGATGCACGGTTGTAGACGATACACCCAGCTTATTTGCGGCATCTCGGAGAGAGAGGTTAGGGTTTCGCTTGAAACTACCGGCAACTCTTTTTGTCGTCTCAGAGGCTTCCGGTTTTCGATTTCCCCCCGATCCAGACTTCCTGGCTGTCGACAAACGTTCCCCCAAACACTTTAATTACATTTGTAACGGTTGATTTGGCAACTTTTAGCGATTTTGCCAACTTTGCGTGCGAG